AACCCCACCAGTGAACGTTGAAATTATTATACATAAATTGAAATGCTATTTAATAATTATATACTCTCAAAGCCGACGCTGCCATCGCCGCTGACTATATTGTTTTAAAGTTTCCGACACAGATTTTATATGCAATATTTGCATGCGGAATTATATGGTAAAATAGTACACATTATAACATGTTCCATTTTATCTCGAATATTTTACTTATAGTTGGTAATCATTACACTCTTTTCATCGGACTATATTATACAAAAGTTGTATGCACTTAAATATATAATATTATAATAATACGTAGGTATAAATCTTTATTATGCAGAATCGAGCGATATCAATTTTTTCGCCCTCCCTTTATATATTATAATATTATTATGTACGCGTTGTGCTCGTTGCCTGCGTACTACATTACAGCTGTATTATTTCCTTTCATTCTTTTCGAGTATAGAATTTGCATAATCGTGGTCGCCATCAACAACACGAATTTCGGGACTATATAATATACACAATAGTAAACGGTTGTAATGCCATCTTCCCCTTCACCGCGGTGTTTATTTTTATTAAAACTACCATTGCATTACATGTTAAATGCTGTCGTCGTTAAATGAAGTTAGGGTATATCGATAAATATTATTCGTTTTGCAAGCAATTGTCGTTGTACAATATATATCCATCAAAGTAGTTAACATTGAATAAAATTATCCACGTGATTGTATTTTTAATCTTCGGCATGGTATTAATTATAATATTAGGTACCACAGTTGTCAAATTATTTTGGTATTTTATTAGACTATGTATATGTATATTTATGCGTAATTAATGAACTCTATTATATCAATCTGTTTTGAAACGCTGTTATTCTAATTCTGACTCTTTTTAAGAGTATTTTGTAGACTATAACGACCTATGTGATAAAATTCGATTTTCCAATCCATCAGTTGGACAATACTTTAAAATAAGATATAAATTTATTATAAATTGGTGTCCCTATATAATATAGTATGCCCTACTGTGGCAAAATTATTTAAAATAAATCCACGAGCGTAGTAAGTGGAAAATGGAGAAAATAATATGTGTAATGTCGATTTAAATATGTGATAGGTACCTACGCTATGTTTATAAAAAAAGGGAAATATTTTTGCAAAAATAATAAAACTGATATCGACGTTAACAACGACGTGTTATACGCGTTTATGATATAGAAACTATTATAATATGTACATGTATTTATTGTATATATACATATATATTTAAAGTATAATAATAATTCGTTACGCGACAGGTTTGGTTCGTAGTCCACATAAAAACGCAATCGCGCCAGTTTCGTCTTTATAGATATCCTCACGCGTTCGGGCGCGCACGCACACATATGAGGGAAAGCAATGGGCAAAAAATAATAATAATAATAAAAAAAAAATAGCTGTTAAATTTCTATAAAAAAAAACAGGAATCATAATAATAAGAATGAAAAAAAGTCCTAGATAATAGAAAAAAAATCGTGTACATCATGATGATGTGTGGATGTATATATATACTGAGGTACATATTATATTATACTATAGGTAGAGGTATATATAATTTATAACGTGTGGTACGTATACAATGTTACACACATGATGGTCATTTCATGCATTCTTCGGAGGAAAACCGCGTTAAACCGTAGAATATTAAAACTCTTGCGTATTATTATATTTATATCAATAATAATGACGATAAAAATAATAAAAAATTATATGTGAAAAAAATATTATATAATAATATAATATATGATTAGAAAATAAAAAGACACTTTACATTTTATATACGCACTAGCTGTAAGTAATATATTATGATAATTATAGACGATGATTTTTTTTTTTATTATTATTAAATTCAGACGGCAATGATCTATAATACATTTAAATTAAAAATCGAGCCTCGTGCCGGGTATTATGAGATACTGAAATATGATATATCGGCTTATATTAGCTTATGTTTATATACGCGAAAGGGAAGAGTATAACATTTCAAGAATAATAATTAACTAATAACGTGCTCCTAGACCGTATATTTATTATTATCAATATAAATGAGTCAAAACTACAAAAAGTTATTAGTTTGATTCGTCGGTGTTCTGTAAGTTATAATAATTTTACACTGTATGCCACGACCTTGACTTTTATTTATTTTACCATAAACCGGGGGTCATTATGTTGTAAGGACTAATAAATTGACCACGTGTTTGTAAGTAGGACATGGTAAATACTTATATTACCGCATCTCATAATAATAATAATAATATACTATTTTTTTATTGATGCTTATTCGCATATGAAGTTGTATCGGTATAGATACATTTAATACACCTATCTAAGTTGAATACTATTAGTTTGAAAAGATTTATAATTATTAACTTGGAGTATGAATTAAATACATTTTTTTACATTGTCTATGTCACAGTGTAATTATGAGTTTTATACTTAATATATTAGTCTTAAAATATCAAGTTTAGTAAAAAATACTTTTAATTTTGAGTTTAAATAAAAATATCCTATGGGAACCATCGGGCGTTCGTTTGACATTCTTGAACAACAGCAAATCCAGGAATATATTAAAATCCGATTTATCATTGGACACACATTAACATAACTACTATACGCGAGACCCATTGTGTCTGATGACGTGTGTTGTACGTATGTGTGTATGCATGTGTGTATGTATATATGTATGTGTGTAAATGAGAGAGTGAATGCGTTCGTGCCAGTGAGTGAGTGAGTGAGTGAGTGTGTATGTATATGTGTGTACTTGTCTGTGTGTGTGTATTAGGAGGGAACACCTGTCGTTTCGTAGACGTCTGGGGAACGACGTTTTAAAAACATAATATCAAATGGAATGAACAGGGAAAAAAATATATATACATGGGTAAGAAGTATAAAAAAAACGAAACGAATTAATTTTTTGAAATAAATTATATCGCATAACCGGTTGTATAGTGGAGGGATAGCCGAATAATCGCGTTCGCTGTACAATGTTTTTAATTTTTCCGTGTCCTCTCCCATTATTTTATTTAAAAATATATATAACTATATATAAATAAATATATGATAATATATAGAGTATGTGTGTGTGAGAGGGGGTGGGGTGCGAGAGAAAGTAATATAATTTGTACAGTGGATGTAACGGTTGTTTGTATTTTATGTGTGCTCCTATATTGAACATTTTGTGTATTGCCATATTTATTAGATTGAGGAATTTGGCATATTTTTCTGCGTAGTCAATGACTATCATAACACATACGCACATGACAGGTGGCATTTTCCAGAAACTCGCAAACAGAAGACATCAACCATCAACGATATGTTTGAGACTGTATACTATCATAATAATATAATATACAATATGTGCACCGTACAATAAAATATACCTATATACATTATACACATAACATATGGACATTTTTCTGCTTAAAAAGACGGCAGAGAAATAGAGAGAAAAAACCGCAACTATATACATTTATACGCACACTCACATACATATATATAATATATAATATGCAAACAGTTGAATGTAAATGTGAGCGTATATATAAGAGACGACGACGACGACGACGACAACGAACATGAGACTTGTAAACTGGTTTTACAAATATTATACACACACACATTGGCTTTATTATAAGGTGTCGGACGAGTATGCAGAACTTGGTTTTCTATATATAGGAGAACGATTTTTATTGAGAGGTCCCGTTGTCTTTGTTATTCCACAATTTCTTCATTCCGTGTAAGAGACAAAACATATCTTTTCGTTTAGTTTATTATTTTACTCGGTTTGTTTTGTAAAATGTGGGAGAAATTCTTCTAGAACCGACTCGAACGTTGTTACATTCCTTTTATTTATATTATATATATAGTATATACATTATACGATATAAACATAAGTATATATCTATATTTATATGTGAGTGTGTATATATACAGTCATACAACAGTCGATGGGATGATGATAATAATTGTTAAACCAAACGTTATCTACATGACCCATCAACTCATCGTCAGGAAGAGAATACAAGAAGAAGAGGAGAGGTAACATGCAACATCGAGAAAACGAAAGTATAACCTATGGGATTTAGAAAACGCGGCGGGGTACTGTATAGCAGCACGGCGCAGCCCAGTGCTCTGTTCTCTAACTGAAATAACATCTGGATCTGACAACATTCCTTTAGCCGTCGACTATATGTTATTGAGTCACCACGTACATATTTTTCCTTCGGTTTTTTTTTTGACCTTTTCGACTGAGAGTCTTCTCCTAATACGCCGCGCCGCGGCGAAACGGTCAATGGAAACGGCCGCCCCGGCGGTACTGGCATGTGGATATTTGACAGGCGTACTTCTCGCCGCACGATATAACCGTCCGACGCGGTGCAAGGGTCAAATTGTTGTTACATTTCTTCATAGATACACACACACTTATATACATGGTTTTCAAGTTCTTATTTATATATACGTACGCGTTTTAGCCTAAGTAGGTACTTACATTGGATTCAAGTTTCGATTATGGTTGTTGTCATATGGTGCCGAACGCGTTGACGATTTGCGTATAGTGCGCCGGCAATACAAACGCATTCGAATATCGGCTATACATACACAATAATATAACGGTAATAATTATGTTATACCTATAGCGTTAAACAACAACGCCCATCATTATATAGACATAGAACAAAACGCGGTGGTCCTATGGTGGAAACAAGTGCGATTGTTATCTTACGTCATGGCTATAACCACGCCTACATTTCAACTACTTACGCTGTACATATAGTGTTGTAGACCTCATAATAATAATAATATATATACCTACTGCTGGTGCTACTTTAGAGAAAAAAAAACAAAAATGATTACCAATTTTTTTTTTTAATAATTAAAATTGATTACTTTCGAATAATTTGTTAATGATTATAAAATACCACGTAGCTATATCCAAATCAAATGTATTAATGAGATTTTTTGTTTTTTTTTTGTTTTCAGAATTGGGTAAGTGTACAAGTAAAGTCGGCCAAATCTTTTACAGTGTTAATGCATTCCGTGGTAAGTAAACGACGCACTTTCCTTCGTCTTATGTCCGCACTTCAAAAAATAGCTGACCGTGTTTTTAGTACACCATCTACATTATAATAATATAATACGACACTCGGGATTTTTTTTTTCGATCGAAAATGAATATTTGCTCCTCAGGTCTTCCGTTGCACGCGTACGCCATCATCGTCATCATATATATATATATATATATTGTACCTATAATATAGCCAGGGGTTTTATCGTCGACGGCGCAATGGAAAAGTTCCATTAAATCCGTCTTGACTGTTCAAGTCACGTTTCCTCCTCCTCTCGTAAACAGTACGGTTTTGCATTTTTTTCTTTACCTCGCCACTGAATAAAATACTAAAAAAATCCACATGCATTCATTTTGTATACCTTCGTGTGTACTATCCTTAAAGGTATATACACGTAATGTGTGGTTTTCCGCGTTGTGCGACTTCATGCTGTGTGTTTCGTGGTTAAAAGAACAAAGCTGCGTTTAAGTCAATCAACTTGTGCGGCACTCCCCCTTTTTGGTTTATTTTTTTTTCAGCGGGATTGCTCGCACGCCCTTAAATTGATTGCAATACTCGTCATATACGGTCGCAACTTTCTTTCTCTATAGTATTCGTTGTTTATCGTTATTGACCAATCTGTTTTTATAGCTTATTTATCTCGACGAATTGACGTTTTTAAATCGTTCGTAATTTTTTTTTATGACTTACTTGATTCGATGCGCCTAAACGTATAACGACGTACCTACCCACACATTAAATATACTCTCGACCTTCTATTAAAAAATGTACATATTATTATAAGATATTATGTATATGACATATTATATATAAAATAGTATATTTTTATATTATATATCTTTAATTTGGGGTATAATCGTCATCGTTTATTTTTTAAATTATTTTTGTTTTTAATCATTAATAGTAACGCCCATAAGACAAATCCAACTTCATGTCTTAGATTTTACTTATAACGTTGTATTTATAAATATAATATATTTATAGAGAATACAATAATATTAATGGATCTAAACGAATTACGCCCAAAACAACGTTGTAGAGGCTTTTAGAAGTATAAAAAAACACCGTCAGCGCCCTTTAATTTATTAAGCGAATGGATTGGATTATGTTTTTTCATTGTTTTTTTTGTAAGTGCTTTTGCCGGGGCAGCGGTGTTAGTAGTGGTAGTAGAGCAGGGGCCAGTCGATATTTTCACTTATCGAATTATATGTTTTCGTGACCGCCGTTGCGCCGTAGTCTTATATATATACATATTATATGTATATAGTGTATACGTGTTTTTATATGTATATTGTTTATGTATATATATGTATGCATGCATGCGATGTGCAATCATATTGTGGTTGTATGTGTGTGAAGACGTTAGAGAAGGGATGATGGAAAGAAAAAAAGACCCATTTACGTGGTAGTAGTTTATATTATGTATACCATTATATTTCCCCGGGGCAAGGGGATTGTCGTGAGCTGAAATTAAAGTCTACACGCGGCAAATAATAAAAAGTTAAAAAAAAACTTATCGAGGTGAAATATTTCTACATTCTCGTTATCTGAGCGAATGTGGGCCGCGAGTTTGTTATTCATTTCTCTCTTCTTTTCTATTTTGTCTCATAAAAAATGCGCGTTTGAGTGAGCGCAGGGCAAATTGCTCATTATTATTCAGTATACCAAAATAAATAACGATTCCGTTCCTTTTTTTCTTCATACTTCCAATCGATTACGTTATATTTTAATAATAATCTTATGTATATATTATGCTCTCGAATATTTTTCTTAAAAGAAAAGTCCTTATTCTTTAGAATATTTAATAAAAAACATTGATTATTTTAATTCGTATTATTTTCATTTATTATGTGGTATATACGAATCAATTATAAAACCTAACATTAAAAAAAAAGCGGACGCATCCTAGACGTATAGCAGTTCTTTTTTTCACCAACAGTATTAAAAACCACGCAGGTAAAAACATTATTGAGAGAACACGCCCACTATAACCGGAAAAATAACGCATCGTCGCTGCTTAATCATCATATTTTTACATGATACTCACTGTCGATAATTAAATTTTAATTAATTTTGAAATGAATATATTATAATCATAATTATTAGGCGTTGATACCATCTTATTCCGTATATTTTTTTCTTAGAACACCAACAGTAGCGGCATAATATAATATAGTCTCTCACCAATATACCTACTCGTATACTGCAGCTAGTTAACTCAATAAAAATATTGTACAACACCTAGGTACAAAAATATAAAATATATAGGCACGCACACGCGATGTATTGAAATTGAACCGATATAATAATAAGACCGTCGTCGCGAGCAAAAGGTTTGTTAAAAAAGAACAAAGGTATAATATAATGTAATATTATTTGGGATTTCTGAAAACAGTATCGACTTTTTTCCGTGTGACCAAATCGCGTGACAAAAACCATTGGGTAACAATATAATAATATCACGTCGTCTACACGGTATTGTTTACAAGTGGAAAAACTTGTGAGATCGCTTGTCGACGATGTGCTCTGCATATTATTATTATTATTATTATTAAATGGTACAATATTATTACTAATAATAAATAATTATTATTATTTATGCTAGGGGGGTCCTTGACGGACAGAAACGACGACACGTCCAAAATCGCTGTGTTAACATTAGCAAACTGCTATTTCAATTACAATCTCGATCGGTTTCGATTTTATTGACAACGATTTTTTTCTTAATTAATATTTGATTATAAAACGATTGGTCTTAATTGCGATATACGCACGCTGCTCGCACAGCGGTGCGGCGACGCAGCACAATCACGAACTAATTTTACTTCCGTTATTATAATTTATAATAATATATACATTATGACGTTTACGAACTGGTGTAGAATCATATTATTCTCTCTCTTCTGTTTTACTTCTATAGTCTGATAAAATGCCAAATAACCTCATCGTAAATGTACATTTATAGATTCGTATTCAGTTTTCAATAAACAAAATGCATTATATAAAAAATTCAATGTACTAAACTTTATTCTACATCTACAATATTGTGGCAATTTTTCCAACGGGGGGGGGGGGGGGGAGTGGTATTATGTCAATACAATTTACATCTAACGTGGTTAACGGTTATAGAGCAGGGCGGAGACGACGCAAGCTTACCATTGAGTTTTTTTTCGACGACACATTTCATTGTACCCCAAAATTACGATTGTAAAATAAACAATTACAGTTATTACGCCACCACTACATACCTATTATCACTGCACGTAATGGTAATTGGTGGTTTCACCATCGCCGCCTCCATAATAAATGGCGTGACGTATTTTTGTCGAATCGCTGCCGTCAACAGGGAGTTGGTCGCTTTGCTCTATGTTTCCGTCTATCCTCGCAGTCGTCATGTCAAAAGATTAATGTCATTACGGCATTATGATGAGGAGACGCACGTAATTACAGGATACGATACAACTGACCGAGCAATTGTACACCTCGCGATCACGCAACGATCATCATCGCTTTGTTAACCATTCCAATTATCATAATATAATTTTTCTTCAAACTATAAATTATTAATGTTGTTGTTGTTACTATTATTATTAATAATGATATCAACATAATTGTTGTCAATTTTGGTGGTTAACCTTTCGTAAAATAATTTACATGATTTTATCATATTAGGAAAAGCATCGAGTTATGAAAAACTACCAAATACTTCATAACATGATGATATCGCTGAAATCTAACAGTAATTGTACTATTGAATCACCATGCTTTGAATGCTTTGATGTACCTACTTATATTTTCTAGTTCGAATTAGTTTCTTCAATTATTATCTTATATAGTTGTTTTCTCGTGCGGTATATATACTATATAGGTACCTATAATTGATTCATTTCTTGTCTATTGTTTTCAAATACATTTACTTTTAGTTGGGGGGGGGGCACATTTTTCTATATATATATATATATATATTTATACTTCTACAACAAAAATCCATCAACTGTAATTGAATTGGCGAGATCGTGTTAGTGGATTCTCAGCTGCGGCAAAAACAAGAAACATTAATATCCCTTATTAGCGTCAGTATAGGCCAAACAAAGTACTTCAGTTTCAGTTTTATACAGGGACTAAATTTTGAGATTAAACCTTCATTTTCTTATCTTTCTTGACAGTTTATTAAAAATATTTTTATTTATAGCATGAAATTATATCTTTTTCCATAAAGTTTTATGAATTAATAAAACAAAAACACAAGTATTTATATATATAATGTAATACAAAATTAAAGAATTAAAAACATCATTTAATTTTTTATATAATATGGTCTCAGAGATAACCTTATAAAATTAAAAATTGAAAACACCGGCTGTTCCTACATTTTCGTAGATGAGTAATAATTTTACTGTAGACAGATTCTGTATGTTACGTTTGTTTAAACTATAAGAGTAACGGTTACATTAAATGAAAACTTCATAATCGCGTTATTGCAGTAACATGAAACTCTATATAACATAAGGTTTCCTCGAGAATTTATGCGCATATAGTAATACAATATAATAATACCCCCGAGAAAAGTTATGCTTGTTCAATTTTTTTGCAAATTTCACCATTGTGAACGTCAATTTTGATATTTCTCCACGAGGACTGGCTGCTGAAGTACAAACCGTTTTTATCATACAATTTATTTTTGCATCGTCTTCAGCGTGAAATATACACGCATTACTATGTATATCCCCCCCACCTCAACCACGACCATAACAGAAAGAAAACATTTTATTAAAAACGCCGGAAGCTGTTAAAGTGTGTGTATACCCGCGATTATTCTACCACGACAAAACAGGACACGACGCGATGAGAAAAACCATGGAAAATATCATCGTCGTCTTCGTGGCTGTATAGTAAATAGGTGGGTGTCTTCCGGCAACGGACACAATAAAAATGACACACACACACACATAATTCCCATGATTACCACCACGGACGAATTATTTTTATTTCTTTATAGAATTAAAGAAAACTCGTATATATATGTATAAAGCCTGCTGTGATGGCTCATTTAACTCGGAACCGACGGTGGTTATCCGCGGTGTTGGTGCTGTAGTAATGCTTTGGCCGAATCTCGTATATAATACGCGTATACACATAATGTATAGAAAAGTATCTATATAAACCACGACCTATGTATTAAATGTAGATACTAATCGAACAAAGATATATTTGTAAGTAATAATATAAGTTTACAAACCGGATATATTATGATTATTGTCGGTAGGTAGGAAGAATTAGGAAGAAATTGTGTGGAACGAAAACGATGAATGATGATAATATTATATATATAATAATAATATTTTCACATTGATATTACTGTGAACAAAAAGATATATTAATATAATAACATGTCACGTCTTTATATACATTTTACTGGCGTGGTACAGTAAAAAACGATGCAATGCCGGACATAAAATATTATAATTGACAACTTATTTTCGCGTTTGAACTTCATATTGATTTCTCGAGTATATAAAATATATTTATCAAACAAATGTTAAAATTATCGTGGTACGGCCGTTACGAATTAAAAATACATACATATGTAATATATTAACGAATCGCCGATGCGTGTACATAATATATTTGCATATACATAATACGTAAAAAGAAAACGCGGTGTATACAACGCTTGTAAGGTTTCTATATACCTAACATTTTTTATATTATTAATAATTATACGTAAAAACATCATATACACGATAGCCGCGTATAGTGTGTCACTCGTGCGAACAATATAATAGGTACATATATATTATATATGTATAGGTACATCCTATAATAATATAGCGTTGTAATTACCGCCGTGTGTGAGATAATGTTATTCGTTAACGTCTGTTTACGACGACAACGACAGCGGCGGCGATTATTGTATGGTAATTTTTAAAGGAGTCTACTCTGTAGTTATACATATATGTACACAAAAGAGAATGGAGACAGTTTTTCTTACCATATATAATATGCCGCGGTCGTGTTTTTCTTGCCTTCCATCTTTTATTTGTATTTTATCTTACATCTTATCTCTTTTGTTGGTTGCACAAGAAAAGAAAAATCGAAAAATCGCCTTTCGTCTCGTAATTGGCGACTTGTGCGCTCGGGAGTTTTGTTTCATTTCGTTCATCATATTATTATACTAAATAATATATTGTGAATAACAATTTATTGTGTATAATGTATATATCTTAAGCGTTTTGTACGGAGAATATATTATGAATGCAGACAAACAAAAAAATAAAAATAAATATGTATTATGAGGATCGTACCTACGAGAGACGATGACGATAGCCAAGTACAGTTTTGAGATGTCCAAAATTCGTGACCAGTCGCGTTCTCTATTCTTTCTTAATGAAAACATTAAAATATAATATACATGTACTGTTTTTTAAACGTATATTATATTTACATTATACAGTGTGTCCGATAAGTTTGTAAACTTTGTTAACGTTGCTTAGTCTTGTCGAGGTCTCCGCACTCTCAGCACACACGCTGTAGACGTGTAGGATTATCATCGTGTACGCAGACTGCAGGGCCATATACACTTTGTACGTATTATATACACTACGACCATACTATACCTAATATATGTAATGCGTCGCGTGTAGAAATAATAGAACTCGTTTTAGAAAATGAATTTTAGTTCGTATTATTATTATTATTATTATTATTTTCGTTTCTTCTTCTTCTTATTATTATCATTATTATTTTTATTACCACCGCGCTCCGGCTCCGGCCCCGTAACTTTACTACACCGTCATCTTTATAATGATCAACATCATCATCACCGTCGTCTCCATCGTCGTGATCATGGTCGTCACGAGGGCGTCTATTTCGCGTGTGCACGTTGTCAGAACTTATTCCACTCCTCATCGTCTCCTCGAGCCGGTAGTATGAGTTTGACCTCTTGACTCCGTACTCTGTGCCTGGATTGGCGTGTGAGAGACGCATGGACGTATCGCGTACGTCTTTCTCTTCGTTTCTCTCTCGGAAAAATAAAACACCCGTCAATCATTGTAACGTGCGCGCATTACAGTACCATTCGGATATAATAATAATAATATAATAATGATAATAATAATAATAACGATAATGATAACAATAATATTATTATTAAAATTATTTTAGTACTTCCATCATCCGACTATATTATACACAAAATATACTGTACACACACACACACACACACACACACACACTTTCTTTAGTCGACTGACAGCTTGGAGCGTTTTTGTTATTATTATTATTTTACTAGTTTCAAATCGACGGAGCCCCGCTGTAAAAATTTAACCGCACATAATGTGTACGTATACATATTTTTTTGTATCCAAAAAATACTAAATTGATTTATGGGAATATATTTTTTAAAATATATAGAAGGTCGACACCGCAGTAGGATTACCTGCATGTAGTCTGAGAGGAGATCTAAGTGCGGTTGACTCAGCGGAGGTTGTTGTAACTGCCTAGAGGGAATTTTGACGTATATTATTTTGAAAAATGTTAATCTTTAAACGTTCAAAAGGTAATAATAATAACAATGATAAATATTAAATTACATCGTTATTTATAATGATTTAAATATTTTCCGTTGAATTATTTTTCTCAATCAATATTGCTTAGAATATTTTTTCCGAACGTGAGTTATTCTACGTGGAATGTTGCATGCTTCTATTTGATTCTTAAAACAGCTATAATAATAAATAGGTAAAGTGTGCATATATTATATACTACATGTTACCTATATGGTTTGTATACGAGCTTCTTCGTCGTTCTTCTTTAGTTGTATGGACACAAATCCAATATATGTTATTATTTTAATTTTTGGTTGGTATTTGAGAACGAAACACTACATACAATGAAAAAAATATGTGGAGGTCAATTGTTTTTTTGTTCTTATTGTGGATTTGAAATATTGCGCGTACCGGCGTATCTCTTCGGACATCGTTGTAAGCATATAGTTATAGTCTTGTTCTATACGCTCTCTATGATAAAATATTACTAAATAAACACATTTGGCCTTATTTGTTATAGAATAATAAACGGCGTGTTATTCACGCACGTGCATATAAAATTTGATGACGGGTGATGGCACATTTTGTATTCAGTGTGCAACGAAACACACGACATCTGGCAATACAAAGTCATGACGTGACCGGATTTTTTTTCTTTCTGAAAAGTCTTTGCCGATCGTTTCAATTTAAATATTTTTCAATTAAAATGACTTGGAAACAAAACATTTTTAGGTCTTATCATGCTAATACAAAATTATCGATTTTCAATTCCTCGTTTAATCGATGATAATCCCCTATATACCTAATATTTATAATATTTTCTGCAAAGATGACGTAAACCACTCGCCTCTCAAACCTCAGTTATGTGTTACTATAATATATATGAAATACGAATAGTTATATGTATTAAATAGAATCATGTATATTGTTGTAAATGTGTGTATATGTGTATGTAGTTATAATTGAAAGTATTGATTTGGAACAAATAAATAATTAAATAAATTACATATTATAAACATATATTTTTATGGCCCGAAACTCCAAACATATATACATAATATACGGTACACACTCATACAAGTGCGCGCTTGCAATATATATATATATATATAGGTACATAAAAAATAGTATTTTCTTTATTATCACCGTAAGTATAAAATAATGTATACGATTGCAGTGGTTTTAATAGATTTTTTTCCAAACTCGTAATTATCGCTTTCGAAATCTCCTCCCATAAATACAAATAAATACCCCTTCGGACGACAGCTCGTAACAGTCGAAATGGACATGACAGATATTATTATTTTTTAACGTTTTACGCGTTTAAAAATACCAGTTTTAAAATTATAGGTTGTCTTGTCCGACTTAATTCTTTCTTCACACAGGTACAGGCACATCTATATACTTATACATACCTATACGAATATTTTACACACACATAAAGGTTATTAAAAATATTATTTAGTCAGATTAAGTGATATTTTGTATTATTATTACAAATTTAGTATTTTTTTAAATTATCATGTATAAGCCTATTAATTTAACGTTAGTATTATTCGATATATTCGATGCTTATATATTATATAGTTATATTCAATTTTTTATATAACTATCTTAAAATTAATGTTAACGTAATGTGATTGTTCGTATTTTTCAGGTAAATGGTGTCAACGGCGAGATTGGCCTCCACCACTAGACGCCCGAGCGGCATCAGCTGCGGAAGCGGCGAAACGCGGTCTTCTGTATCAATCTGTGTTCCTCGGCGGAAGCCCAAATGATTACAACTCGTGTAAGTACATATAAAATAAATATAATTTACATTTACCACTAACTAGGTCACTGTTTTTTTTATATGCGACAGCGTTATAATATATAGGTTAATTTATTCAAAGTCACGAAAAATGTGTCCCTCGTTTTTCTCCATTAACGTCCTTTTTTTATTTTTTTTGTATATAAATATCCATGAGTTTAAGGTATTTACTGACCGTCAATAAGGGTTTGCTGCAGGATCGCCACTAAAATGAGCATTTGACGTGTACGTTTAGGTTTGTTGTGCCCTTTATTAAATAAAAAAAAATGGAAAACCCCTGTCAAAGAGTATCAGGGGTAATAGAGGATGTAAAGGAGAGAAGGAAGGGGTGGTCGAGTAGTGGGTGAGCGGGTATGAGTGTGGAAACATTTCCCGGTTTGCCAATGTACGTAGTCGTCGTTGCCATGGAAAACCTGGACCGCGCGAGCGCCGTGCGCCGCGATGCAGTCAACCAGGCAGCCATCCATCTCTCTCGCATATATATATATATATAAATTTTTTGGTTGTCGGCGACGATATAATGTTCGTCTTGCCATTTTTACTCCGCAAACATTTTGTTGAAAATATTTGCTAACTGCGGCACGTGTATACCTACGCGATATCAATTAAAATATCTTCTGATGTCCACATTTCATTCGGAATGAAATATGAGACCTATTAAATTTCATATATTTTGATACAATTAACTAGAAAATAAATAAACAATGAACTGTAATAATATGATGCGTCAGATAAATGTATACTTATGCGCCTATAAGCTAGCACAACATGTTTCTACACGTTTAATGTTTATTGATTAGCAATAAGTATATTAAACACGACGGAGTTACACTATGTTTGTAACTTTTATTTCGGAATCCTGCAATTAGTATTGATAAAATATTTTTCTAGTATATTTCGATTATCATAAGTTGTTAAATAGTATTTCATGAATTATTTAATTTTTATATAAATAGGTTTACCCACCATTATCAAAAGCTTATTTAAAATACGTGTGGGTTACATTATAATTTTTTTATTTAAAACTGAATAAGAGATTGTAATAACGGTGTAAAAATGGTTGTGATGGTGGTGGCTATAAGATATATACAGAATAACGATGATAATAAACCCCCTAAGGGATAACTATTTGCGGTAGTGGGGTCCAGCTGGTCTCGAAGGAGCCAATTACTGTTGTTGCTTCGTATATCCCGAAAGAGATTGATTGACCAATCAACATATAAGTAGAAACTTTGAACATGAACTTAGAGAAACATGAAACACTCGTCTAAAAAAACACCATTATATATTATAAAGTTTGAAAATTCAGTGAAAATTATGATCGTTATTGAATCCGAGAATAATGTTGCTTTTTTAATAGAATTATTTTATTTTTAACGGTTTGTTATATGTTATGTTAATTTAAAATAATATTATCTATGTATCGATTATAAAGATATAAGATGATGAACCTGATATTGCTAAATCAAAAAAAATAAACAGTTTTCGATTTTCGAATGTCGATTATGTATTACATACAGCCTTTGAAAATACAAAAATGACCGTTATCGAATATACCATAGCTCATATGAATGCATATAGAAATATCCAGCTGTTGAGATTTATGTATCATGTATATAATATGTAAAGGGCTAGAAAGAAATGAAAATACGATTAGTGGTACTTGTAACCGCAACCGACGGAACTTTTTTCGTTTGTACTTATTTTCTCTTTATACTTGCTGCATGTGACAGCTACTACGTGGGTTGGTGCGCGCGTACCGTTTTCAGGCTGACAACGGCAACGACGACGATGATATCAAAAACAGCCCATAAAGTGAGGAGGTCTCAATTATAGTATACGTATAAATATATATATATTATACCATTCAATAAGGGTAGGAATAGGGTGATTGTGTGTGCGGAATGGAGGTGTAGTACGCGCACCGGACCACTGGTAAAACGGAGGTGTGTTGGTGACAGCCAGGAAATGAACGAACGCTGGTCACCCCCTTATTCTCGTTTCGGTTTGCGTTAACTATAATACTATATCAAATAATATCGTAGTTATCTTAAGTTGGAGAAAAAATATATAATAAACACTGCCAGGGCTTATATTAAATTTATTTTCGAAAAAAGGGGACATTTTTTCACACGGTTAGAATTGTAGTTAGGTCAATGTTTCGGGTTGGCCCCTATAATATAGAGAATATTTGTTATCATATTTAATTAGAAAACTGATGTCATTTTATTCGAAGTGTGGTTGTTTTCATGGGTTTTCTTAATTAATATTTTAGAAGTAATAGCATCCTGCAATAACTACTTGTTTATATATGCATAGAATATTTTTATTAAAATTTCATCTTTCATTTATTTTTAATTAGAATATAAATATTGTAAATTATGACTATGATATTTGACAACTATATTTACTGTACGTCCTTGGTTTTTTCTCTTTCAAAAAGTAATGATTGTTGTTCATTATTTTGATATTGAGTATTATTTACGATGAATTTAAAATCTAAAACATATACATACCCTAAATTACGCATTTGAGGCATTTTTATTATCTGATATAGTACATTCCGAAGAAAAATGTCCATTATAAATCAAACGTTTCCTTGTTCTATAATCTGCAGAACTGAAAAGTATAAAACTGCCTTACTTAAATTTTAAACGATTGGCATTTTGTTCCCGCCTATACGGGCTTAACGGTAAAATTATTAGCTATATAATTCTATTATTGTACATATTGCAGTTATTTACCAGACGTTTTTTTTATTTTTTCAAATCTAAGTTATGCTACAACGTTGTCATATTATGTTTAAGAGTAATATTCTTTAGTGTGTTGATGAATTTTTCATGTCGTATGATATATATTTATTTTAATAAACAATCGTTGCAAAGAACAAAGTTGAAAACATATTTTTTTCTGAAAATGTTACGAGATCGGCGCCAATTCCGTTGTTAAAAATGTATCGATTCATTTTATATCCATATATGATGTAGCTTACCTATATATAATACGTTCTTTAATCTTTATTATAGCCATAGATGGTTTACATTAAATTATTAAACTCGCTGGTCGCACGTTTATAATATATTCCATTATAGTCGGGGTCGTTGTCGGTCTGCAGGCATTTTTTGACCTTAATCATATTATATAGTGTTGGTGGCCAGATTCTCTCTCTCTCTCTCTCTCTCTCTCTCTCTCTCATTCTGTTATTTTCGTTGTTGTTGTTGTTTTTTTAACTTGTTTCATCTCGAAGGCACCGCCACCATCATCATCATCATTATCATCATATTTTTGTGGTTAATTCTCTCTCGACATTAACGTTGATGTATTACAATAATATTCCGTTTATAAGACTTTCGAGTAATTTTTAACGCTATTATTTTATTTTTTAGTATGGACCTCAGGGGTTGAGATTTTTTTCTTATGTTTCATGTGGCTAAGCCCCTTAGTAAATTCTTTGAAACCACGATTAAGATTATTACATGATTATTATTATTTTACTATATTACATGTATTATATTATAGCGTTTATATAATAAAATATCTATATAACTGACAATCGTTATTATTCAACAATTTGTTTACGAATTTAGTGAGAATAACTAGCTTATAATATTTTAAATTATATCTAACTAGTAACTCATTAGTTATTGTGCGCAGCATTGGTTGCACTACCTACCTATATTTACAAGTTAAATTCATTATAGTCAATCATTCTCATAAAGGTCTTTATGGAATATTTATATTAATATTTTATACTTTTACATGTATGTAATCTCAAGTTGTGCACTGAGTTCGATTTCATTACTTGTTATTTTCTTTTTTAGTTTTAATGGCTGCCTTGTTCAAAGTCGTTGTCCATAAACTCGTTTTCTCTTGTCTGTTTAATATGCCGCCGCCCATTTTCTTTGACCAATCCTTATAACATATAACATCAACATGTATAGGTTAGGTATTCGTAAAGAAATATTTCTATTTGATTATTTATTATTTTTTTAATATCAGATGAGCTAATCGATATTTAATGAATAATGATTATTAACGTATTCGATTTAGAACAACTAAAAGTAACTAGGAAGTACCTACATATATAGATTATTATATATAGGAAGGTAAGGTTATCTTATAAATAATTTTGTTTTAACACAATTTTAGTTTTGCCAAAGTATATAGTCTTCAGATGGAATTCGACAATAGAATGTTTTAAAAAATTCGTTATGACCGAAATCCCGTGTTTAATTGACGTGCAACAAAAACACATTAGGAAGGGGACACGCATGGTGCTGCAGCTTAACTTATAATAAATTACGAATTCAAAAGTTGAACTCTGACAATGATACGGGACGACGGGTCCGCCACAACGACGCGCGGTCGAGAGAGATAACCCTTCCTTCCTAATGTGTTTAGGGGGTCAGTCCCTCGGATATAATATTGTAATCCAATCAAATACAAACAAACACCTAAACCCATTAGATAAACAGTTTTTACTCCTCACCGCCACTATACCACTACTGTTGTTTATTTAGTGTGTATGAGTCATTACACACTCTATGCTATATTATATGCAGTCGTATGATATGTTTATGTCCCCAACCACCAACTATTTCTTATCTGGCGCAGTGTGCAGCGTAGCTGTTTTATCTACAGTCAACATTAAAACAACGCAATGAAAGCGCATTCTGTTGCTGTTGTTGTTGTTGTTTTTTTGTTGTTTATACATATTTTATTATATTCGTTGGTGAATTTAAATAAAAAATTATTATCGTCATGCAATAAAATGTCGCGATTCTTGTCATCATCGTTGTTATAACTTATTTAAATTTTTTCCAATCATCTTAATTATGAGAAGTCCTAAGCGTTTTATTTTTTATTGTAAGAATATATACTTAACAGCTTTATTCAGCTTTTTGTTGAAAAACGGTATTCGAATAAAACGGTATCTTGGAAACACGCTGCAGCATCCAGCTACGTATGCACGTGGCGGTGGAGGTCCCTTATCGGCCGTGTATTTAGTGTTATCCACCGTCACCACGACGTGTGTAGAACGGTAAAAGGTATATATATACACTATAAGGGAGAGCAGAGTATGGGCAGAGATATTGTTTTGATTGTGCGCTTGTGTGTGGGTGTGTGTGTAAGTGTACGTATATATATGTATATTGTATATATTTATACGATATGTGCGTGTGCTTGTGTATTCTGGCTGGCAAAGTGAGTAGAAGGAGAAATGCAGTGGGATTGATGAAGGGGTGGGTAGCAGTGATTGATCACCTTCTGTAGTGAATCTGATAGCGACGGTGCACATTTACCCACCACCAGTGCCGCCGGCGTGGGTGAACGGCGGCGGCTACAAGCTCTACGACCCCTAACTTCCGTAAAATTACCAATTGCACGCGCAGACAGACGAATTTATAACCGTAGGCTCTTTTCATTTTTTTTTTAATTAAAAAAAGTCAAAAAGTAGTACTTATGATATTTTATATTTGATAATTTTTTTTTTAAAGATACGATTTTAAAGTATATCATTTTTACGATGTTGACAATCATAATAATTTTCTATTTTTTATCAAAAAATAAAAAGGTAAATCCAGTAGGATAAAAATTGCATTTTTGACGTTGATAATTTACGTATGTTAGTAATTAAAATAAAATGACTCGTTATGTTATGTTTTGTTTTATATACATAGGTGATGCGAGTAATGCCAGTGTTGGCAGTGGTGATGGTACGGGAGAGGATGACGATGATCCCAGCGGTGGAAAAAAGAACCAAAAGAAAAGAGGTATATTCCCAAAAGTGGCCACAAATATACTTCGAGCGTGGTTATTTCAGCATCTAACGGTAAGCCAATATATTTCAATCGTTAACTTGTAATATTACTCCACGGTTTTCTCGAATACGTCTCGAGTAAAGTGTATTAAACATACTACATGATTTACTAAAAATGATAGGTTGTTTAATGTTTACTTTTCATAATAATTATTGTTTAATACATGGATTTTAATGCCCGGGCTCTAAATTATAACTGCATCGTACTTATAACTTATAAGTAAACATTTTCTACGGGTTTGGTTGTGTTTGCATGTACAGTGATTTATGATGTATATAAAGAAACGAATAAACTGTATTATAACGCGCTACCTATATAATAGTAATTATTTTCAACGCACGTTTTCGATATTATGTCAGTTCATAACGTTTAATTGGCAAATGTACAAACTAATACGTAAGAACGTATATATTATACATATTACATGGCGTATAAATATATATAACTATTGTTTAATGCCTACTGTTTTGCGTCCGATTTAAATGTATGTACGTTTAAAACCATCGTTGGATTACAAAATGTTGATTTTAAACGCAAGGAACATTTACTGTGTTGTGAAAATTCCGGTATTAACTTCCATGGGACACGTGTTGTTCCAGTAGAATTGTCATTGTTTGGAATTCTTTGTTTTATTATGGCACGCGAGAGAATTTCTGAAATTTAATTTTGTTCGCCAAGGGAAAATAAACTAGCAGTGTAATTTATCCATTTGGATACGGATGTTTGTCGCAGAAAAGTTTCCTTCAGTGAAACGAGTCGGTACCAAGACCTAATTAAAAACGCCCGAGTTGTGTATAACTGGTGGCAGTGACGTACCTACCCTCCTCCGTGCACTGTAGCCCCAGCCGCGTTTAGTATACTTGTCGTAAAAAGGGGTAATTAAAGGGCCCTCTTGTGCAAAAGGTAAATTTTCGTTTGAAATTAAATTTTGCATAACAATTAGCCGTTCCTACTACCACCGCCACTGCTGCTATGGCGCTTTCGTGGAGTACCAGGTGCTCGGAATGTATTCACGTCCTTCATCTTGTCCTGAGGGGTGGAGCGAAAACTCTGTCGAGCTTTTCTCTGGGTATTAAAATTCATTTTATACCAACTCAAGGGAAATTATTAAACCTTTATGCTTTTTTACATTTCTTCCATTTCGGTTGGTAAATGATAATTATTAGCGATGGAGTGAGATTAACGAGAAAGAGGAAAAGAGTCGACGCAAAACTAAAAACTGAGATTTTTGTTGCAATTACGTAACATTAATATACATTTATTCTTTTTATAGTAGGTACAAAACTTTTTGTCGTACACTATTGGAATTGGATGAGTTACCTAAACTCTTATTGGTTTGCGGTTTTTCTTCATATATATTTAATATTTCTCGCCGTTGATATTTTTCTGTGTATAATAAACTTACTTAACTTTAAATGTTTCTCTTTCTCTCTTAAAAACAAAACAAATTGAATTAATTTTTATATATTGCTCTTGCTAAAATAACCGATGTAATTTAAGTAAATATGTAAATGTAATTTTATCGAGTTCACTTGTAATGGATAACCATATTTTATTAGACCGTTGCTGTGTTGAATTCGTTGTATTATTATTATTTAAATTGAAATTTAGTATACGAAACCAAAAAGTAACGTTTTATTTGATACATTTTTTTTTTACAATTTTGATACTCGACTGCGTTTTCTTTTCACTCTATATACATTTTACACAATGTACAAACTTCGTTTAATTTATGCGTGGATATTACATATACATGTTTATATATATATCGAAAGAACGGAATATAGAGAGATAGAGAAAAAGAGAGAGAGAAAGAGAGGTAGCGAGCGAGGATGTGGTTGTGGGGTTCAAATGGACATTTGGAATTAGTTATATTTTTATCCTTCTCTCCTCATCGCATATATATATATGTATATAAATATGCCCACCCCTTTTTTCCCGTACCGGTCGGCACCATTCCCCGTTGCCGTTGGTAACACTGTGGGTATGGGTCGCACCAGCGACGCTTGCCCCCTTAAGCCTGATCGTAATAATTAAAATTCCTCGTTGTCCTGGCAACCAACAAACCTCTCTCACTCTCTCTCTCACCATGTTTCTCTCTTTCCAACACCACCACCATTCCACCTCACTGGGAAATATATATTTATATACAATACATATGTAGTTATTATTCGTATATATGATTTACCGCCATTACTTTTGTGTGTAGTCGCTTTTATGTCTGGTGAAACCGCTTCATGTCGCGTTCGTCGACAAACGCGCGCGCCGCGTGTAAAATAATATGAATTACATATTCGGTATTAACGTCGACTGGTGTGTGTGTATTTTGTGTCTGTGTGTCTGTGTTTGTGTGTATATATATATATATATATATATTATATATATATGGTGGACATGTCGAAAAACACGTCGACAACATATATTTTGATGGGAACGACATGAATGAACGCGGTTAATAGAATCGTCTGGACTTGTCTAATGAGTTCTTCTCCTTCCACGCTGCTCGGTGAACTGCAGTGTCTGAAAGTATCGGAGACTGATTGAATAACCGACAGAGTTAAGTGGTCTATATTGAAGATCGACAGTTATAACAAAATAAAATACGATATTATTCTGGATTTTTTATATTCTTCTACTTCTTCTTCTTCTACTTCTTCTTCTTCGACCTCTTCTTCTTCGTGTTTTTTGCCTCTCTGGCAAGATTAGAACTTTTTTCCTACGGTTTTTAAAACCGTTGTTGCCATTATTGTTTGTCTGTACCTACATAATATTATACTATACAGGTACTGAGTTCGTTATTTATTATCGTTTCATGTTTCGTTGCTACACGGTACATAATTTGTTCGATGCCTTTATAGTGTACGAATATACAGACCCACAATGATTCCATTTCGGAATTCGTGCAACGCATACAACATATGATAAATAATATTTAGTAAGTACAATAAACGATTTGTAACGTACAACAAATGCAATTTTTTTATTGTTCCTGCGGGAGCTGCGTCTCGGAGAGTGATGACTATTATATTATACGGATGGGAAGGTGTATCCCAATAATACGTATACGACCGTTTAATTATGACAATTAAATACGCGTCAATCGTGGTACTTTCGTGTATCATTACTGCATTGTTTTAACGCATGTTCAAGTGCATATGTCCATCACCCATTGTTAGCGTCTTTCATTTTTATAAATTAAATGAAATTGGACCCCCCAGACGGATATTATTGTCATTACTCCAATTCACGTCTCTCCGTATCAACTGCGTTAGCCGGCCCCGAGCGAGATGCGAGACGGTGTAATATGTAAACATTATTTATTAATGGTAGGTGGTCCTTTAGTGGCAATTAAATCTATTGAAACCTTACGTTTCGTTTATTATTGACATTATACATTAGAGGCATACAATATATTATTATTATGTATAATATATGTGTGTGTGTATTTAAATAGTATGTTGTATTGTAGAAATAAAATGTGACGATCGAAAAACTTCTCGCGTGTTTTTAATTACGCATACGCATTAAATATTAATTCGTTATTGAAATTTTTTTTTTACATTCTCCATTATATTTTATTTTCAATCGGTTTTTAACCTCTTTTCACTAAATTTATTATATTTTATTTGTATATCCCATTTATACACCTACTCTTTTACGAGCATGTTCTGCTGGGGGGACATATTATCTTTTATGAGCAAATATCTACCTAACAACATAAAATAAATAAACAAATAAAATACTCATAATTCGTATATGATGATGACTAATTTCATACAATTCGTACTTACTGCTTTCTATCGATTTCTTCTTTTAAACAATAATAAAAAATAAATATATTATGCATTCGTATAATATTTACCATGTATAATTATGTTAACGATGATATAATAATATTAAAGATACCATAATAATAATAAATAATAACAATAATTTATTACTGTTATCATCATTAAACACATCCATAATATATTTCATATTAATTCATTACGTGTGTATAGTGTATACGTATAATATACGTGTGTGGTGATTGGTAATTCAGTTTTTTTTATGTGTCGTAAAATATTACGGGTTACATCAATGTTGGTTCTGATGCTTAATTTTATAACTAACCAGCCGTGTTATGCAAATTTGATCTAATGATAAATTACGGTTTGTCGATGTAAACGTGTGACCAGCAGTGGAGTTGTGATCAAAAACAGATAATTTCCGACATCATTGCTAATTGGTTAAAAGCGTGTTTGCGCATACTAATGTGTGCGTATACGCGTTATTTACGGACAAGTGTAGGTTTATGGTACACATTCACAATGTACTTTTCACGGTTAAAGTCTTACAATTATCTGCGTTACATTATTTTCGTATGACATAATATGGTTTCGTACCTACCCGCCGTTTTGTATTTTATGCATTTTTGTGCACTCAGTATCTAATGATAGTAAATTACGTTTTTCTTAGGTATTGCAGTGGAATCATTTAATATTTCAGCAAAGATTTTGATTTTTTCTGCAAAACTCTAACCTCCTCAACGCGTAATCGAATCATATGTTTAAGTTATCAATTTATTTTTCGAACAACCGTTTTGAATACCCACTTGGGATGTATATTCGTTTCGTTAAGCGAACAAAATTCACATTTAAATATGCTCTGGATGTGTATATATTTATATTCTACGTATATACATATATATCTTTATATATTCGGATAAATATATATATATATCCGTTGTGTGTATATGTATACACGCTTTTATCCACGCGCATTCAATCTCGCTATCGAGGGTGGAGATAAAGAGAGGGGGTAACTTTAAAAAGAGCAGGGTAGTGATAGAGTGAAAGGGGAAAGAGGAAAGTAATTTATGGGTTTACATCAGTTGTTGGCTGCCAAGATTAATGGCTCACAGTTTCTCCACTCCTGGTCTTAAAGTTTTTCCTTTTTTTCCAGAGCTTTTTTTTTATTCTTTTTCTGAACCATTTTCGCTGCTGCCCCCGACGAATCGTTGGCGTCCAAT